AGAGAGAGAGAGAGAGAGAGAGAGAGAGAGAGAGAGAGAGAGAGAGAGAGAGAGAGAGAGAGAGAGAGAGAGAGGTCATGTTTCAAGACTGGGCAATTCAGGATTGACTACAGAGAAATAAGGGGACTCATAATTGACAAAGAAGGCATATTGGTATACGAGATTGGGGATCGATGGGCGGAACAACTGTGGCTCCACGCCAAGCATACGCTTCAAAAACATCGCATTTTCAGGAATCGTGCTCAGAATAACTCTCCCATTCGGGATAAGCAGAAGTTTGGCAGTTTCTGCATACTTTGCCCATACTTCTTCAGCTATGAACGGCGGATCAATCACAACACAGTCAAAGCTATGATGAAGGTTGTCTGGAACATCCGTCGGTCGATTGAAATCGTATCGAACAAAATTCACATTACGACCTCGACCAAACTTCGTGTCAAGATCAAAAATGTAACTCTTACTCTTCAAGTTCTGGTTTTGAAGAGAGAAGTAGATGCTTGGTGTTGACAGGAAGGCCACGCTTGTCGCAACGTCGTCAAGCTCCCGCAGCATCACCTTGATTGTGTCCGATGAAAACCAGTATTGATTGAACTCTGCATTTTCTCCATATTTCATCAGAAACCGATTAGACACACGTTCCTTCCCCCCATTACCTGAATCAATATCATCGGAACCCAACACCAACGGCTCATGCACATGAACGGTTCCCTTCTCCATGCCCTTCTCTCCTTTCTCTCCCTTGTGTCGCTTCCCTCCCTTCGTCCTTGTATCAGCTTTCGTCCCATCCTTCACTTTGTCTGCTACTCGATCAATCCACCTAGTATGCAGAGGTGGTTCTCTCTGTAAGATACAACAGGGCTCTGTTACACACTTAACATCTACCGCCCCCACCATCGTCTTTTTCCTCTTCCACAACTACCCACACTACTCCTGCACAGACTCCCAAGCTGGCTGCTGCATGATATCTCGTAAACAATTGAAACCAAACAAAGGCCAACGTGTCAATAAAAATGCTTTGCAGTGTTTCCGTCCAGCATGGTCGTCTGCTCAAAAATAAAAAGCTCATCCTTTCATTATCCATAAAAATACTCCATATTCTAAAAGGATAAGGTGTGAGGGCTTTGGTAGGCTCTGCAAGGGGTCCAATCGTCGCACTTGGTGCTTTCTGCTTTGCGTGGGATACACAACTATCTGGTTTTCAATGTGATGATGCAATTTGGATTTTTGTCTTTTGCTCTCCCTCATTTTCCTTGCAAAGGAATACTGGGTAGGATAACGAGTCTGAGGCACTTGGATACTACCCAGTATAATTCCATTTAGAACATGGATAATGAATGGATAATGAATGGATAATGAATGGATAACGGATATTACGGATAATAAATCGATAACGAATGGATAAGCAATGGATCACTGTGTCTGAAAGTTCTTGCTCTGAAATTCTTGATGTGCTCACTCCTTTTTTTATCCTAATGCATACTGCTTAATGTCATTCATCCCCCCACCCCGCCCTCACCCCCTGTGGGTGCACAGAAAAAAAGTGGATGCACTCTCTGCTTGTTGCCACGTAGCCAGGTCCTCGTATCACATGGGGCATTCCCGCATTATCCATTGATTATCGGATCATCATCCATTCATTAATATTATCCATTCAGTATCCAGCCATTATCCATTCATTATCAATTCGATATCCACTGATTATTATACATCCTTGTTCAGTGAATAATCGTATCTTTCTCAAGTGCTCGAAATCTCAAAATCTGAGATGCTGAGGTAGTCCGCATGGAGACGGACACAACTGAGGGTGCGAGTCCTGGCCGTGCATATGTGTTGTCTATAGAGAATACCATCAAGTGCAGCCTGCAATCTGATGAGCCAGCAAGTGGATTGAAACGGTGGGGGAAAGGAAGAGGAGAGACAGATGGGAGGAAGATGAGCAGTGCCGCAATCTACTATCCATCTGTTTGCAGTACTGCTCATCTTCCTCCCCTCTGTCCTCTCCTCTGCCAACAGATGGACAACAAAAATGCCTTTGATGGCAATGTTATGTTTGACAGAAACAAGAAGAAGACGAAGCGAAGAATGGTGAACGGCCCGTTCCCCTTCCCCTGCCCCCCTCTACCCTGCACCTCAAAACACACACCCTGTTCCCCTTGCCATCCTCCCCCCACCCCCCCAAGTCCCTCATCCTGGAAGACCTCTCCAGTAATAAAAAAAGTCAAAAGACCAATTGTAGTGATCCATGGTTTGGGCGCTGTTGCAGGGAGCTGGAGAAGACTGTTGATGAGGAGGAAAGATCCACGCCACCTCTTTG